TGGAAGAATGGTAGATAGAGATGGACTACCGAGTGGTGAAGGAGCTGCAGAGCTTAGGAGTTGGAGAGCGGTTTGAAAAAGAAAAAGGGTTTTCAGAAACCATCCCCATTAATTCTCTCTTCACCACCACCAACTGCTGAATCTCAAACAGTGCTTTCGGATCATATTCATCATTCCATTCCTTCTCTCTTTGTTCTTCTTTTTACGTAAATAACCCGACGGAGTTGAGGAATTTACGGTTGGAACTTGGACCGCTGCTTTTCTTTTTATGGGGACATGCTCGCTGGCGCTGCAGCAGCCCCAGCACCAGCAGCCACCTTTTGCTTTTGCTTCTGCTTCTTCATCATTCCTTTGTCTGGTGTTGCGTTCTTCCTTTTCTCTTTTTTTTTTTTATGTATTTTTTTATTTTCAAGACAAACAGAAAAAGAAATGCTTTGTCTGATTGGATTTTGAACGTGTTATTTAATTTTCATATAAATAGTTTCATTTCATAAAGGTAGATTTGTACACAAATTTGAAATGAATACTTTAAATGCAGTCCTTAATCATTAGTGTATATTGATTGAAAGAGTAAACTACCAATTTACCCCTAAACTATCATCCAACTTTCGATTTCCTCCCCCCCGGAACTTTTTAATTGGAAAATTAAGGACTTAATCTAATTTTTTTGGTTGATTTGCCCCTACCGTTAGTTTTTCATATATTTCATCCAAATTAAGGTTAACTCTTATCATGAGCAAACCATGTAACTCTCATTTGTTAAGAAAGCGTCACTTCACTAGACCTTCAGACATAAAAACTATAGAATCACACATATTTGCATAAGTTTATATTTTAGAAATATAAGGTTTTCAATTATTTTAAAGAATGAAACGACCGAACTACCCACACATGTTGTGCACATGCTTCCATTTAACAGAGTTTTAGATGGAATGAATGAAAAATTAACAGCAAGGGGCAAATCAGCCAAAAAAATTAGTTTAAGTCCTTAATTTTTCAATTAAAAAGTTCAAGGGGAAATCGAAAGTTGGGTGATAGTTCAAGGGGCAAATCGACTGTTTACTCTTGATTGAAATCCTATTAGTTTTTAAATTTTGATCAAAGTCTTTTGAGTTTGTACACATCAGTATATTAGCATTAATCAATTTCCATGTCAACTGTTTTATATTTTAAATTAAATATTATACTAATATTGTAATATAGAATATCCTTTAAAGCAAATTTTTTGTCCGAACATTTAAAGCAATTAAATAAAATAAATTACCGCATTAAGGGATATAAAATCCCATAAGATTTGAAATTTAACGTTTAGGGGATTAAACGATAAACTCCACCCTTAGAAAACCTTAAACCAATTAAAAATTGATGATTAAAATGTGGAAAATAAGTTATGAAAAGAATTGTTTTTTTTTATTGAATGTCATGATAAAAGATAAATGTCCCCATAAGATTGTACCCATGTACAATTATAGTAATTCACAAGAATGTATCCATATAAAATTTCAACATTAAAACCCATATGTGACAAAATAAAAATAAAACAATGTACCCATATAAACTCTTAATGTAAAAAATGATTAAAGGATAGAAAAATGGAAGCAAACCATAATTAAAAAAATTAATTACTTAAGGGTACATACTATATAAATCTTATATGAAATAGTTATACATATATGGTTACAAAATAATTTAGAAGAAAAAAGTTATAATGGTACTATAGAATAAAAGCTAGGTACATGGATTAAGGAACAAGAGAAGAGAATGTACCCAATGAAATTAAAATTGTGTTCATAGCAATATAATGGTCATTTGTTATGATTTTGCAGTATGATAGTCATGGAGAAAAAGTGAGTTTGAATTTTTTTTTGGCAAAATTTAATTTGAAGATACATATTCAATATAAGAATGTTGAATTTGAATATAAACATAAATTTGAGTGAGAGAATTTTGGGATTTTCAATTACAACGTGATAATGTAGTAGAAATTATAAATTAAAATTTGTAAAACAAATAAAAAGATGACACGGAAGTATTTTAATAGTAAAATGTTGAGGTGTACAAAGTCAAAGAACTTTGATAAAAATTAAAAGCTAATAAGGTTTCAATCTATGAACATTAGTAATTAGAGACTGGATCCTAATTTTTTCAATTTGAAATTACCATTAATTCTTTAATTAGTGTAGAGATATTTGAAAGTAAATTACCTAAGAAAAGCATGTGCAGTTTTTTTTTTCTTTCCATAAAGTTGTTTAATTTGTTTTAAGTCAGAATAAATTGCAACAACTCATCTTGTGTTTGTAGCGGGAGTTTTAAGACTGATTTTATACTTTGTAGCGTGAGTTCGTGGTTTTTTTGTCTAAGCGTTGATGAGATCTGGCTTAACTAAACTTATTGACATTGTTCAACAAATTTCTATTAATATTAAAGATGGTTGGAGAAAAGTCTTGTATTCTAACGGTTAAGACCTATTACTATAGTTTGCAATGACCTTTTTAGATTGAACTCTTTGTAAATATGTATCTGTAATACTCTTTTCTTAATAAATATAATATCACTCTTCATAAAAGATTAGTAAATCACCTCCCGAATTTTATTTTATTATAATATGTATCTGTAATGCTCTATTCTATTTGGAAATAATGTATCCCTTGAGACCATCTCCAAACCTGGGCTAAAAGCCAAATGTTATTTCTGGGCCAAATACCCCCCCCAGCTTTCCCCCGGGCTAAATGCTAAATGTTTATCGGGAATTTAAATTTTTTTAGATTAAAATGTTCATAAATTTAATTTACAATAATCTACATATTTTTTTTTAAAATTGATTTAAGAAAAAAATTAGCCTAAGTTCATTCTTTAATAATTCCGGGCTAAAATTTTAGGCTAGAAGGGTTGGAGCAGAAAAGATGTTTCTGGGCTAAAAACCAAATTTTTCGGGCTAAATAATTTAGCTTTTAGCCCAAGGGTTGGAGATGGTCTGAATAAAACCAACAATTAAAACCATTCAATTTATTAATCTTCATAACTCTTGAAAAAAAATTTATTTGAATAGAAGACCATCTAACCGTTGAAACGTATTACATCATGAAAATGTTACTTGCTACCTGCAAATTTTATAATTAGTATTAAGTAACATAATCATGATAATTTGACCTATTTTTTAATACATTTAGAAGATTAAACGATCCCCAATTCGAATACATTTTTGTTAAATTAATCTTTGAATAAAGATTAATAAATTAAACGATTTTGCTCGTTGAATTTTCAATCAAAATACGATATCAGCAAATAAAAAATGTCAACATCTTCACATAAAAGGATGCAAGTATTATCCATCTTAGTATTTTGTGTGGTTTCCACACTTTTGCACTATATCACAATCCCATTGATTCTTTTAGGAAATGTCTTTCTCTACTTTTATTTTCTTGTTTTTTATTTTCTTTTTTGCTGATTACTTTTGTGAAATGTCATTATTAAATCAGAAAAGTAAAATAAAATTAGATTGATTGGATAAAATAAAAAAAATTAAAAATAAAAAAAGGATTAAAAAAGGGTAATGCCGGTGTACTAATAGAGCGTGGACTGATGTGACAGAATTGGCACGGAACTCAATAAAGATGGTATTATTAGAGAGAGAGAGAGAGAGAGAGAGAGAGAGAGAGAGAGAGATGGAGTTAACTTACAAGTACTGCATTCTTCTCTTTTTCTTTTCCCAAATGGCCTTTTAGAATTTAAAGGCCAAGGCCTTGTGAGACAATCTGGGCCATGGATACGAACCCACTAAAAGCCCTTGCCCTAATCTTAACCACGGTCTAAAATATCAATGATATCAGAAATATCGGTAGTTTAAAAATACGAAAATTTTGATGGAAATATCGGGATATTATCGATATCGATAAAAATTGAATAAAAACCACGAAAATTGTAAGAAAAACTTGGAATTTTTTATTAAAACTTTGCAGGATATTTATTTAGTCAATTATCTATTAGTTTATCACAAAAAATTGGAAGGAAATACATTGCATGAAGGATTTAACTGATTTAAGTTGATTATATAGCGAGCTGACAAACATTGTGAGTGTAGAAAATATGTAGTAATTAATGAAAGAAGTTTAAACATACCATAATCATTTATATATAATGAATTAGTACATATTACACTTTATACATTGCATGGTAAGATACATGAGTGACTTAGTACCACATAGAATTCCTATCAAGGTCTAAAATATCGATGATATCGGAAATATTGATAGTCCAAAAATACGGAAATTTCGATTGAAATATCGGGATAATATCGATATTTTAGACCTTGATCTTAACAAATGATTTTTTATTTTTCTTATACAGTGTTATTTTTACTAACTAAATTACCATCGTTATTTATGAGATTCGAGTTTAAGATTTTTCTTATAAGTAAAAAAAAATATCATTAAATTATAATATTAAGTGACAGTTTTAACATATGATTTGACACTAATACTTTTGTTCTTTTCGATTCATTAATGACTAGGGTTGGTCAGGGTACGAGTGATGATTTTTAATGGAGGCATTCAAAACAAGAGCGAAAATGTGTCGCGTTCTTGTAACAAGTAATGATTTTTCTATGCATGAGGAGTCAAACATTGCTCTTTCAAGCTATTAAATTTTCTATTTATCTTGGCTTATCATTTCGGATTTCACTCGCAGACTTCAATTGAATTCTAATTTTGAGTGATAAACCTTATTCAAATCTTCTTTCCTTTTTCGGTTTTAAAGCAAATATTTTTTCAAAGCAAGTGATATGAGGAGGGACGATTCTAACTTTGGATCTCGGGCTATAGAGACCAACGCTCTTAACTACGCGAGATATAATTTCTTTCCCCATTGCAAAGCACTTTGTTTAAAATTTATAGAAAAAAAAAAAATTAAAGGAAGGAAAGAAGAAAAAGAATCATATAATTTGACATGTTTTGTGAAAGAAAATGGCATTTTATGTGAAATACTCGATGTAGGCAGGATATTTAGGGCAATATAGCCAGAGGGCAAAATATCCAAAACCAAGAGAGCCAGAGTCACTCGCACAGGCCACAGCTCCCGAGAACAACACCAACAAGGAAGAAGAAGATGCGTACGCTCGGTGCTGCCTGCGCCTACCCTCTGTAAGTTCTTCCCTTCCCACCCATCAGTCAGTCGTTTTTGTAATTTCACTTCAACCCATGTCTGTTTATCAAACTATCTTTTGGAAATATGAAAAATTTGGTAGCTTTGAACTTATCAAGATACACAACTCTAACGTGCAATCTTAGTTCAAAAAACTGTTTAATTTCAATTAAGAATGTCTTTATGAAATCTGTTTAGAGTACCCATTTGGTGGAAATGTAAGTACTTGATGGTGGATTGAAGAAATTGATGTCCCTTTTTCGTTTATATTCATGGAAGATGCCGGATTGTTTCGTTTGAATCGTGCCGTCAAGCATCGGATAAGTTGTTGTTTCCATGCAATGTGAGAGAGCAGCTTGCCAAAGGTATGTACTTGTTGATGTACACTTGCCCATGTCTGAGTGTTAAATTTTGGTGATTACTCGTTATTTAGTGAGTGTTAAATTTTGGTAATTTTGCAGCAAGAAGGATGCATAAGGGATACCGACTCAAGGCTGGCTTTTGGGAATCCATTAAATCCGGGTAATTAAAAATAAAATGCGAGTCATGCACACAATTCACACACTGAATGTTGAAGAATTTCAGTCAGGTGAATTGATTCAGAATGTTGGATTTGCCATGTGACAAAGTGCTCAATTGTTGAATTGGTCAAATTCGGAAACCGTTGATTGGTTGAGCACTCAATCAATAAACTTGTTTAGAAAGTATGATACTTTATGGATTAATGATACTTTTCCGTAGAATGAAAGTTTACGTTTTGTTGGGCTTCACAGCATAAATGGTGCATCTAAAGGTTGCCTTTTGGCAGTATGCTTGTACCCACTTCTGTAGTTTTGAAATTGATACTAATTGAAGTCTAAAACAGCAAGAAATTAGATATCATCACACACAGAGGAAAGTTGTGATGGTCTTTAACTCACTTCTTGTTGCAGTATTTTAAATAACAACACCACACAAGTAGTAGAACCACCCTCCACGCTCCCGGAAGAGGAAGAAGAAGAACCTCTGCCCCAAGAATTAGTTCTGATTCAGAAGACTGAACCAGATGGAACTGTTGAAGAAATAATATTTTCTTCTGGTGGAGATATTGATGTGTACGATCTTCAAGCCCTTTGTGATAAGGTAATATCTGCCATTGGTACTTCTTTTGCACATGCATTTAAAAGTTAATGCCTTGTGTTTTTGAATTCGCAATTGTGTCCAATTCACTCTTCATAGGTCAGGAATCCACTCATTGCGGATGCACTCACCTGATTTACCTTTTACTGAAGTTTTATCTGTCATTCTTTTGCTATACATGAAATACAATGCTATAAATGTGGAGATAGTAAGTTATGTTATATCCGTAGTGGAAGTCAAATAACTTTAAGTTTAATGTAATTTATATAGGTTGGTTGGCCAAGGAGGCCGCTGTCGAAACTAGCTGCAGCTTTGAAAAATAGCTACTTGGTTGCAACATTGCATTCAGTTCGGAAATCACCTGGATCAGGTACATAGTGGATAGAGCATTGTTGCAGTATCCTTCTATTTCACACAAATGGTATTGCAGTCTATAATACGCTTGTTACTATATCTGAAACTATTTGATGGACACTTAGTGTACTTGGAGAAGTTATTTGACAGAAGGGAATTACCAGAAGAAGTTAATTGGCATGGCTCGAGCTACATCAGATCATGCCTTCAATGCCACAATTTGGGATGTCCTTGTTGATCCCGGCTATCAGGTATGCTCGTACGTTGTTTGTTGGACTTAAAGCACTAATCACATAATATGTTTTCATGATGGTTACTGATGATTTCCTTATCATTCAGGGCCAAGGCCTTGGGAAGGCTCTTGTTGAAAAGATTATACGAGCTCTTTTGCAGAGGGACATCGGAAACATTTCACTCTTTGCTGATAGTCAGGGTAAAACGACAATTATTTGTAGCATTTAGTCTATTACAGTGTCATGCCAATGTGCTATTTAAGTTTTTCAAGATTGATGAGCTTGTCTACCACTGCCATACGATTACCTTTGTGTGCATCTGCACGGTTGCGTCATAAATCCGTTTCAGTCAATCCTACTCTACATCGGTGTTTTCCTTCTTACGAATAGTCCTGCCTTTGCACTTCCACTTCCGGTGTTGCCGGCTTTAGCATTTTCAACTTTTATTAACGTGGACCTTCTCGTTGTCGTTGCAGTTGTGGAGTTCTATCAAAATTTGGGTTTTGAACCCGACCCGGAGGGCATCAAAGGCATGTTTTGGTACCCAAAGTATTAGTTCTCACTAAAAAAGGTCAAGCTTGTAGCTTGTATGTTATTGTTTTAGAGAGCAAGTGGTAAATCCGATTGAAAATTATATAATTACCAAATCTGTGGCTGTATCTCTGTATTTTTATTCTGAACTGAATTATATTTCGTTTGGTGCTTGAGATTGTATAAGTAAATATATTTAAGGTTGTTGACAGAACAAATGAAGAATTTTTGTCCAACTTGAAGATAGAAGTTACAGAAGCTTGTGCCTTTCAATCAAGGTTCTAAAAGACGTTAGGCGCTAGGCGCTAGTCGGGCGGCGGGCTAGGGCCTAACGCCAAGGCGGGGTCTAGGCGGGCGCCTAGGCGGACTAGGCGGATTTAAGTAAATCTATTATATTTCGTGTAAATAAATGTCTATTTATACTTAAAATATATATAATTTTATCATAAACTACAAAATAGAATGACATATGTATTATAAAGTATTGGAATATAATGAAAACATGGGGAACAAGCATATAGTATGTGCCCATTTAAGTATTCAACAAGTCTCTTACAATTTATTGAAAAAAATTAAATGCAAATTGAAAGTTATCTATTTTCTATCAAAGTGAGTCGCAATCTAGGCGGGTCTGGGCGGGCTAGGCAGGCGCCTCAACTGGTCTAGGCGTCTTTTATTAATTTTCAAACGCCTAGGCATTAATCGGGGCGGTGACCAGCCGTCTAGCGTCTAGGCGGGGTCTAGGCGGCGCTAGGCGGAGATTTTTAGAACAATGCTTTCAATACCAACAAAAGTGGCAGTATTAGAAGCGAGAAGTTTGCTTCATGTAATCCCTTCGAATCTTCTCAAAACGAAAAATCATTCACATCGACATTGAACACAACTTGAATCTTATGAGGCATCCAATCCAATTCGATTTTGTAGAAAGGGCAAGTTTCCTCAAAATGGTAGGATTTGAAGTGGTAAATTTTGTTCACAACTAATTCCATCTAATCTTTTCAAAACAAAAAATCATTGACAGCTACATGCCACATGCCTTGAACATTTTGAGGTATCCAATCCAATTCACTTTTGTAGGGATTGAAAGTGATAATTTTCCTTCATGTTGAACCCTTGAAAAATGAAAATTCGATCACCTCGACCATCAATATGCCTTAAAATTAAACGAGTTTTTCAATCTAGTCCTAAGCACCAAACGAGTCACTCAAACAAGTTGGCATCTCTCGATGAAGAATCCGAGCTGTGTACAGCTACAAGTTCCATGTGAGGTCGTACATAAATCCAGAATTCGGATGGGTCCTCATGTCACCATGTATTAATCCACAATTTAGACCTCTTGAATTTTCTTAACCACAATTTGAACCTCTTGAATTGTCTTACCTTGTAAGGAAAGATATTTTTTTAGGGTGCCGGATTACGTCTCGGTGTATCAAGTGTTGTAATATAAGTAGTTGATTTTTTTTTTCTTCAAGTACCTAACTATTTGTATTATGACATGTATCAATCCACAATTTGGACCTCTTGAAATGTCTTATCCTTGTAAGGAAGGAGAAATTTTTCAGTGTGCGGGAATACGTCTCAATGTATCAAGTGCCATAATATAAGTGGCTGAATTTTTTTTTTCAAGTACTTAACTATTTGTATTACGACATGTATTAACCCACAATTTGGACCTCTTGAATTGTCTTATCCTTGTAAGGAAGGAGACTTTTTTAGTGTGCTAGGAATACGTTTCGATGTATTAAGTGCTATAATATAAGTAGCTGAATTCTTTTTCTTCAAGTACCAAACTATTTGTATTATGACTCTTCAAAGGAACAATACCATTAACACCAAATATGGACTTTTAATTTTTTTTTACTTTAATTTTTAGTTGTGCGAAATCTCATCGGATTTTTTTCTTTTTCTAAATATTTAAATATGGGTACATTTAACATTTAAAAATGCAAATAATTAATTGCGTTACTAAAGACCAACATGGTCAGACTTCTGAGGTATACATATTCTGATCCGCTTTACTTAGACTCTGAAAAATCATGGTTCCACAACACCTAAGTTTTATTTTCCTTCCTTTTAGTTTAAATTCAACGTTTGCCCACTTTTCAATTCAAGAATTAGGAAAGTCATCTATTGCAACGAGTTGCGACAATGAACAGCTAGGTAATAGTTCCTTGGTGCTACAAGCTTTAGGTTCCCCAATCATTTTAGATGTTGTATGGCCCATACTCTATGGCTGAACCAGAACAAGCAATTGCTAAGTAAAGGCGCACCCACATTGTGCTTTACTTCCACCCATTGTAGGAGCTGAAATGGCAAAAACGTGCGGTTGAGATTTAACTAAATCTCATTTAGTCAAATCTCAACCGTTCACTTATGAACAAAAAAAAATACGTTAAAGAGAATTTCTGCCCATTTTAGATGCTACATGTGGCTGAACAACAGCTAGCAATTGCTAAAGATCAGCAAACAGAGGATCAACCAAAATTTTATTATCGCAATCGAAACACGGTTCACTACATTTAATACAAAGCATGGTATCATTCAAACTTCCATGTCTGCCGACTACAAGGTAATATAATTTCTCTTAGAGGGAGCTGGGATTCCTATTAACTAAGAGCTTCAGTCGACAAAGTGCTGGAGTAAAGCTTGTAAGCCATGATATGATTCAAACATTTGGTCTCCAAATTATTCAAGTCGGCTTCTCATATGAATTCTGGTCTCTAAATTCTGCAATGGCGCTTCTTATCATCTCGGCAGCATGGGGCTGCACAAAAAGGTGAGTGCTATCCAAGACATGTATTATGAACCTCTGTGAAGCTGGCAGTGAATTGTCGTAATTGATGATGAATTGCGCCATAGGTATGTCACTGCACAGGAGAAGCACAAATGCTTTCAGAAACAGGGAAGAGAGCATGACATGGTCAATACGCAACTAAAACTATTCTTTTAGGATGAACCAAACAGCAGGATTAACAGGTGATAAAAGCCTAAAGATACAAACTCCACAGAAATCACTTCACTGGATAAATCAAAATCTTTTTGTGGATTGCGTTTTGTATCATCATAGAATGTACACAAGTCAGGAGCTTTAAATCCAAGTGCTCACTTTCAAATCAAAAACACTATTGTGACTCAGTGATGACCGGGCACTCCGTTGTAGCTACCAATAGAAAACAAGTCAAACCTAAGACCCAAAAGAGAAAGAGAACTGCCAACCCAATGACAAGATAATTTTTAAGCAAGACAAGATTTTAAACTTGTCATTATATGCATTGAAGTAGATTTCTAAATATATGAAGGAGAGGAGGAACCACAACCTATTAACCACGCTAAATTCTGCAAAGTTAATAAAAGCGCAATACAAAATTGGTACAAGTATCTTACCAAGAGATGAACAGTCCTTTAACAGCGTTCACCATCTTGCATCAGAAGCCTCAAGATTCTTAACTGCAACACAAACAAAAGCCAAGATATTAGAAAATACTTGGATTATACTAACTCTTAACATGGTATAATTACCATAAGTACATAATTAAAAGATTAAATCCACAATACATTGCCTGAATTATTATTTTACGATAGAATATCAAATCTAAAATATAAATTTGTTTGTAACACATCATACCGAAAAGGCGTAAATATGCAATTAAACCATCAGTTTATGAGCCAAAGTAGCAAACCCAATTCCACAAAAAGGAAAAAAATATTCAAAGATCCTTCGCGGAACCCCAAAGTCCCCAAACACATTGAAGCTAAAAAATGGATTGATAAACAAGATCGGCAAGCATTCAGCAGGAAACAAGCTCGAATTTTGAAGGTGAAGATTGGCATACCTTTTGTTGCAGAGGTGGTCGGAGATTTTGTACGTCTCCGTCTATACTAACAATGCACAATAATATATCACAACACAATTCATATCCAAATCAATTCAACATATCCAATTCCAATAATCCAACTCAATTCAACATTCAATTCACTATCCAAATTCACCAGATTCAATTCAATTCACAATCCAAGTCAAAATTCACCAAATTCAATTCCAAAGCAACACAATTCAATTTATTAGAAAACTAACCTGCATCAAACGGAGGCCCCTGATTGTTTCAATTCAATTCCTATTTGCCTTCTTGTAAGTGGAGGCACCTGATTAATTCAATCCAAACCTGCATCAAAATCCCAAATAAAAGAATGAGATAATATCCCAGATTGTGTAAAAATTAAACAGGAAATGGAATGCAAATGGACATTTTCCTACATTTTCCAAATCAATTCATATCAAATTAATTAAGGAGTAGGCAGGTACCATAAAAAACATACTGAAAAAATTTTCCAACCCCCTCCTGGACCAACAAACTGTGTATCTACAATTTGATAGCGTTTCTACCAAACATATACCAAGTCGCATTAATGATTATTAAACTTGACCCTACACTACATATGAAATTTTATCCATCACTTTAACAAAAAACTTTTACAAATCCAAAATAACGTAGATATCACTCTTCCAATGTTATCACCACAACCTCAAATCTTATGAATCAAGCATAACCATCACAGCAAATCAAATAAATAGAAGAAGCTATGGATTTAAATAAAATTGCTAGCACAAAAATCAGCAAGAAAATATGCATCACCAATTAACAACCCAAAGACGCACAAAAAAAGTCCCAAATCACCAAAACAAAACCAAAAAAACAAAAAAAAAATTCAGCCGCAAAGAAAACAAAGGAAAAAACAAATAATACATTTATATACCTTTAGCATAGAGAGTTCCAAGAATCAGAATCGAAAATCCAAAAATCTGAAAGGGACTGTTTCCCGAATCTGGAAAACAAAACGCATCAGACACACACAACAACTATCCAACGAAAAACAAAAGATCGAAACCATATAAGCTGATAAACATGCAAAACTCACCTGGAAACGCCGGATTAGATCGGTCGCAACCAAGTTCGAAGCGAACCTAAGATAGGCACAAAATTTCTGAAATCAAAAAGCAAAGCCATGAGATATTAACAAAAAAAAAATCCAAAAAAACATGGAAATCGAAACCCCGTGCGGTAATATACATGTAAAACTTACTTGGAAAACCCGGATTCAAAGAACCAAAAACCCAAAAAATTATTGGAATCGAACCAAAAGGCAGAGAAATTAACAACTGTAACCTCTAATCGAAGAACAACTACGAAAAATGGTCCGCGTTTTGAACAACGAAGCAACACGATGAAGAAAACAGAAGCTAAAGCGGAGAAAAAAGGACGGCCAGAAACAAAGCAAATGGAGATATGCGAGAGAGAATAGGCGAAAGCAAAAGAAAATCCAGAAATAGAGACCTCGATTGAAGAGAAATGGTGAAGCCCTTCCTAAATCGAGCGGCTTGGTGTAGAGAAGAGTGAGGCGAGGAGGGAGGCGGTGAGAGCAGGAATCGAAAAGGTGGGTTTAGAGTCTGAAACGGTGGGAAGCATCTAGAGAAAAGCTGGGTCGAGATATAGGAAGGAAGGGCAAAGTTGAAATAACAAAAACGAAGCAGGGATGGAAATGGGAAAACACTGTTAATGAACAGTGATTTTTTCTGTTGGGTTTTAGTATATGTATAATATATATACCAAAGAAGTAAGGTCATCTCCAACCGAAAGGTCCAGAGGGCCGAAAATAGCCCTAAAACCATCTCCAACCGAAGGCCAGGGCAGAGGGCTCGGGAATTTGGGAGGGCCCTACAGAATTTCAAAGGGCTCGTTTTTTTTTTATAGTTTCATATTGATGTCGGTTATAACCGACAGTAATAGGTATTCATAGGCAAATTTGTTTTTTATTTACTATAAGTGTCGGTTATAACTGACACTAATAGTTTGAAATTTTTTTGAATATAACGGCTAGCTATTGCAGCTAGCCGTTGGGTTTTTTTATTGTTTTTTATTTAAACATTTCTTTTCTTCTATAAATATGGTGAAGTTCTTTCAATTATTCACTTCATTTGCAATATTTCCTTCTTCAATATCTCCTTCAATATATATTTTTTAAATTCCATTTTTTTCCTATAACTTCTATTTCAGAAAATTTATTTCATATTTTTTTAAATTCCATTTTTTTCCTATTATCTATTCTAAAATTGAGGAATGAATTGACTGTAGCTTAGCTACAGTCAATTGGTTGCCACTCGATTTCAGGCTATTTACAACAATACCAGCCAAATGGCGCTGGTTGGGAGGGTAATTATCAAAAGCTGGGAGGGTAATTTTGACTCTGAACAGATTTTGATATATTTACGATTTTGCCAGTCTATTCTAAAATAGGCTATGGATTTTGCATTATTTACATTTCTACCATTGTGCGTGGCTGTGCTTCAGACAGAACTCACGGATTTGTGGAAGGATTTCAGGGAGAGAGGCGTGGGATGGCAGGGAAGAGAAGGGAGAGAAGGGAGTGAGGCTGCCAAAAAGTGGGGTTAGGGTTGATTTTTTCTCCTCAAATCAAGGGTTGGTGTCGCTGATTGAGAGATTGAGAGGGATGGGGGAGAGAGACAGAAACACACCCATTTGACCTTCATTTTCCCCTTTCTCAAACCCTAGCAACCAGAACCCCAAAACTGAGCCCACTTCTACAATAACATCGCCTCTTGCTTCCCAAAACCACACAAACCTTCCCTTCATTTTTGTAACAGGTCGCTGAAAGATATTCTTGGGGACGGAGAAGACGATGGTGGCACGGCGGTTGGGTCGTTTGTGCAGGTCACTGTTTTGGAGATTTACCATGAGGAGATTTATGATTTGTTGTCGAGCAATGGCGGCGGAGGATTCGGGTTTGGGATTAATTAATGGGTTAGTACACCGGGTCAGTGAGGAGAGAATGACAGAGGGATGTATGGGACGGTATGGGTTTTCAGTTTTTTCCTCTGATTCAACTGGTAATGCACTGTTTAAAATTTATTGTTTATTGTCTCCTGCTTTGATTTCGTTGGTTCTTCTTTAGGGTTTTCTTTGGTTGTCTCGCTTATCTTCCCTACTTTTGGCTTGCTTTTCTTTGTCTCAAAGCTTGCTCTTTTGCCGTTTCTGATTTTTCCATCTTTTTTTTTGCCCAAGTGAATAGCCAGTGTGTTTTTTTTTATAGTTGGAAAGGATTGGATTCCTATAAATTTCATTTTTGGGTCGCGGTTTTTAACTTTTGCTGAAAAAAAAGGTTGAAATCGTTGTTGTGCGATAGGGTTATCGCGAAAACAGAGGGTTTTTTTACTCATCAAAGATGGAGTGTTCTGTATCGCCTTTGTTGGGAATTTTTTCGTTGGTGCTTCCTACCTTTTCCGATGAGTTTTTTTATTTTCTTGCTTATTCTTAATCTTTTTATTTCGTTTTGGATATATTAGTTTATCTTTTTTGCATATGAGTATGTGATTCGATGTTTTAGATTGGATTTTTGTGGTTTTGAGTTTGTGAGTTTTTTTGGGTTCCTGAGAAAATGTTATCCAATGGTTTGATTGAACATTTTTCCTCAATTTGTTGCAACTTTGCTGTCGTCGTGCCCCTTTAATCAATGATCATTGGTTGGTTAAATGCGTGTATAGTTATCCTCTATTAGTTAGGTAAAATAGTTTTTGTTAGTTACAGGGCAGTAGAGAACAAGTGATGAGGTGAACCGTGTGGTTGGATAGAGATCATGGGTACAGATTTGTTAGTTATGTTTAGTCAAATGATTATTTGCTTTGTGAATGTGAATGTATTGTAACAAATTTCTTTGGTATATACGTGTCTGAAAACTCCGCCTGTGTAAGTTTATCTTACATTGTCTGTCCCAAGCTCGGATAAAGGAAGAGGGGGAGGGCGTCAGGTAGTCGACAGCCGGCACTCCACAGTTACGTCGAATCCTTATGACAATGAATCCAGAACTAAATCGCGCTAAAGCTAGGACGTCACCCGTAAGCGGCGCGCTGTGTGGCCCGAGCACAGTGATAAGTGAGCAAGGGTCGCTGTATCTTCATCGGCACCCGGATGCAGTGTTAAATGAGCAAGGGGGCCATAGAAACTTCTTTTTGAACGACTCCACTCAAAGTTGTTTGGGAGCATATGCTCCTATCAACTTTACACAGGACACACAAAAGAAGTACTTTGATCCTATTAGATGGGGGATGGTGAAGAAGCTAGGACAGAAGGGTAGAGTTCAAGAGAGTTGAATGCGTTTAGAAACGTGGAATATAGGAACCTTAACGGGAAAATCTATGGAAGTAGTGGAAGTTATGGTGAGAAGAAGGATAAATATTATGTGCCTACAAGAAACTAAGTGGGTTGGTCTTAAGGCAAATGATCTAGAAAACTCAGGGTTTAAGCTTTGGTATTCGGGCACAAATAGAACGAGAAACGGTGTTGGCGTCATTGTGGACAAGACCTTGACACAAGATGTTGTAGATGTCAAGAGAGTATGAGATAGAATCATGGCAATCAAAATTGTAATAGGACAAGAACTCATCAATGTGATTAGTGCGTACGCACCTCAAGTAGGGTTAGATACGAGTTCGAAGGAGAAATTTTGGGAAGACCTTGGAGACTTGGTGCAAGGAATTGCTCAGACGGAGAAGTTATTTATAGGAGGAGATTTAAATGGACACGTGGGCAGGGAGACAGGCAACTATGGAGGTTTTCATGGTGGCCATGGTTTTGGGGAGAGAAACGAGGATGGGGAAGCTATCTTGGATTTTGCAATGGCATATGATCTCTTCTTAGCCAACACCTTCTTTAAGAAGAGAGAAGAACATGTGATCACCTACAAGAGTAGGTCGTCAAAAACACAAATAGATTTTCTTCTAATGAGGAAATGGGATCGTATAACTTGTAAGGATTGCAAAGTTATACCGGGGGAGAGCTTGGCTAATCAACATCGCTTGTTGGTGATGGATGTACATATCAAAAGAGTGAGAAAAAAGAACAAGACTTGGAAATGTCCAATGACTAGATGGTGGAATCTAAAAGGAGAAAAACAAGTCATTTTCAAAGAGAAAGTAATCACTCAGTGTGTGTGGGATAGAGAGGGGGAAGCTAGCCAAAGGTGGGATTCCATGGCTAGCTGTATCCGAAAAGTAGCAAAAGAGGTATTAGGAGAGTCCAAGGGCTTTGCTCCGCACCAAAAGGAATCTTGGTGGTGGAATGAAGAGGTACAAACAAAGGTGAAGGCTAAGAAGGAATGTTGTAAAGCCTTGTACAAGGATAGGACCGATGAAAATGGTGAAAGGTATAGAAGAGCGAAGCAAGAGGCGAAGAAAGCTGTGAGAGAAGCTAAGTTAGCGGCTTATGACGATATGTATAAGCGACTAAATACCAAAGAATGAGAGTTGGATATCTATAAACTAGCTAGAGCAAGGGAAAAGAAGACAAGAGACCTAAACCAAGTAAGGTGCATCAAGGATGAGGATGGAAAGGTTCTTGCTACAGAGAACGCAATCAAAGACAGATGGATAGGTTATTTTCATAATCTTTTCAATGAAGGATATGAAAGGAGTACTTCTTTAGGGGAGTTGAGTAACTCAGAAGAGTGTAGAAACTACTCATTTTATCGTCGAATCAGGAAGGAAGAAGTGGTTGTAGCTTTGAAGAAGATGAAGCATAGAAAAGCAATGGGCCCAGACGATATTCCGATTGAAGTGTGGAAAGCCTTGGGAGAGACAGGTATAGTATGGTTCACTGACCTTTTCAATAGGATTTTGAAAACGAAGAAGATGCCAAACGAGTGGCGAAAGAGCACTTTGGTGCCTATTTACAAGAATAAGGGCGACGTACAAAATTGCATTAACTATAGGGGTATTAAGCTAATGAGTCATACAATGAAGCTCTGGGAGAGAGTCATTGAGCATAGATTGAGGCAAGAGACACGGGTTTCAGACAACCAATTCGGGTTCATGCCAGGGCGCTCAACCATGAAGGCAATCTATCTCTTACGAAGATTGATGGAAAGATATAGAGATGGAAAAAAAGGATTTACACATGGTCTTTATAGATTTGGAAAAAGCGTATGATAGGGTCCCAAGAGACATTCTTTGGAGGAATTTTAGAGAAGAAAGGAGTACGAGTAGCATATATCCAAGCTATAAAAGGATATGTATGAAGGAGCAAAGACTGCCGTAAGAACTCATGAAGGACAAACCGAAAGCTTTCCCCATAACTGTAGGATTACATCAAGGCTCATCCTTAAGTCCTTACCTTTTTACGTTGGTAATGGATGAGTTAACATGACATATTCAAGATGATATTCCTTGGTGTATGCTTTTCGCAGACGATATAGTGTTGATAGATGAAACTCAGGAAGGGGTAAATGCGAAGCTTAACCTTTGGAGAGAAGTGTTGGAATCTAAAGGTCTTCGCCTAAGCCGATCAAAGACAGAATATATGGAATGCAAGTTCAGTGCAAATGGAGGCCAAAATGAGTTAGGGGTGAGGATCGGAGATCAGGAAATACCAAAGAGCGACCGTTTTCGCTACCTAGGATCTA